CTCATGTACTATCCGCTGATGGGAAACATCCTGGGGAGGCTTGTCCAAGTGGGTTTGTCCGGGAGGGTTATCCGGGTCCTGGCGGGGTTGTCCAAGGATTTAACCAGGGAGTTTTTGGGTTTTGATTTTTTTCGCTGGACATGGTAGGATCCGCAGCAGTTGACCTTCACGATTTGCTGTGGGCATGATTCTGCGCGGGGTCGCCATGTCGCGGGCAGGTGCTGCTCGCTGTCGCTGCTCGACCCTGCCAAATAAATGTTGTCCATGAACTCCAGAGCCGTCATCGTCTCATCATCTGTTGGGGTCCAGGAGCTGGGCCGCGTCAGTCGGCATCCTGGGCACCTCGGCCCATGCTCGGAGGGCCAGCCTCGTACCTCAAGGCATGCTCCTTCTCGAAGGTAGTCTCGTCCATGGTTTCCAGCTGGTCTACCCTGTGGCGCCCATGGTCAGACAACATCGCTTCCTCGAACTCGCCGCCGTTCCAGGGGGCCTGCTTGGCATAGTCGACCAACACCTCGAACTCCTCGAGTAGCGCTCTTGGAAAGATAATTTGAGCACGACCAGGTACCACGCATATGTAGAGCGTCCCTGTCCTACAGTCAACCCGCATAGTAAGGATGGGCAACCTTTCCACGGATTCCCTTGCATCCTTGCCTCTTCGGTCCGTTCTTCGCCACTTTCGTCGGCCGCGCCCCGCTCGAAAAGCTTCGAAATGGGCGTCCAAGGCCCTTGCATCCTCATCGCGCATCCTTACTATCTTGGTTGACTGTATTCTGGAAGCTGGCCGAGATCACTCCACACCTTTGCGCTTGCTCAATCTTGCCGCTGCCGAACTTGAGGGGCCTCCGACACTTGAAGAAAGTCAGCTGCTTGCGGGTAGCCCATCTGGTGGCAGTCGGCTATGCAGTCCTTGACAGTCTCCGATCCAGACATGAGCGTCGTCGCGCCGCAGTTGATGATGCTGTTCCTCGCGGGAATGGCAGCAGGGGCCTTCTCGGTGTCCCAGTAATTCTCTCGTCCATGTGCTGCCTCCGCTTCGGCGGCTCCGTGCAATCACGAGCCCAATGACCAGGCTTGCCGCACATCAGGCACGTAGCTGATGGAGATGACGAGGAAGCTGATGCTGCTGGCTCCGACTGCCCTGTTTGGCGGTCTTGGTCTCGTGTAGGTGTTCGGATGTGGTGGTGGTGGCCCGCTCTTGCGTCCACCTGTGCGGCCTTTGCTCGTCGAAAGTCCTCTTTCTGACGCCGCCGTCGTAAGAACCGAACTTGCGCCGTATCCTCGCTTGCGCATCGCGTCAACGGCGTAGAACCCTCCCGACAAATTCAGGCCGTTGGAGCGCTTCCTCGCGTGGTGGTAGGCCGCGTAGACCTCGTCTAACTTTCTAGGGTCGAACTCCTGGACGGTCGCCGCGTCGCGCTGGTAGTAGCTCTCGTCGCAGTCGTACCAGGTGTCGTCGTCCTCGGCCCAGTACTCTTGCTCGTAGTCCACGTCCTCGTCAGCGTCGATGGTGTAGAACTTCTCCTCGTAGTAGTCTCCATCTTCGTCGACGTCGTAGTGTCTCCGTGCGTAATTCGGCTCGTGTATCGTGCTCTCTTGCCCGAACGTCGTCTCGAGCGCTTCGATGACCCTGTCCTGCGCGATGGCCTTGCACACGATGGACATGATGACGGCCTTCTGATCTGAGCTGTAACCTTCACGTCGCAGGGTCAGACAACCTCGATCTGTCGCTTGCAACTCGATGTTGTGTGTCTTGAGCTTCCGCTCCGCTGCTCGAACTCTTGCTGTGTAGGCGAAGGGCGTCTCGCCCGTGTACCTCTTCACCTTGTAGAAGCATTCCTCAAGATCGTCTGCCAACTCGGTCTGGTCTTCGATCCTGAATCGTTGGCATAGCCTCATCATGAGGTTCTTTGCCGCGTTGGCCTTGATCAGGCCGTCTGTCGAGAGATTCCCCGCTTCGTCCCTTGTTTTGCTGGTGAGACTTGTGTTGAACATGAGAGGTAGTTCGCCCTACTTCTTCATCAGGATCAGCTTCCCGATTAATATCAGCGCTCTCTTCTCGTACTTCTTCCATGCGGCTAGAGTGCCGTCGATCTGTGGAACTCCTCGTTCTGGTAGTATGTGTTTCTCTGTGTCGTTCTTCGCCATCTTGTCGCTGCTGGGGCGGTTGAAGGGTCTGATTGATCTGGGCTGTTGCTGTCCGTGCTGATGCTGGGGTAGTCGATGGCGTTGTCTAAGCTGCCGCGTAGAACTCCGCTGGGAGTCGATGCCACTCCGAAGGAGGTCTCGCAGAACTTCGCGTAGAAGTCTACGGTTGGATATGGAGGGGCAACGTGTGAGCTTGGACAGCTAAGCTCCGCTACCAATCTGAACTTGGCCAGTGCAGCAGTGGAAGATCCCTTTCATCTCAGCACAATCCTCTCGCAAGCAACGTGCAGTGTACAATAACACAGATGTACATCACATATCTCACAGGAGGGAGCGGAGGCGAGAGAGAAGG